GCTAAAATTAAAGTATATTTCTAGCAATTTCCCTATATAAAATGGTATGTTGTTTAAGACAATGTTAAATCTACACTGGCCAAATACAATGGATGATGTAGATTGCTTAATTTTTCAATTAATAAGTTTTATTAATTTACTGGACTAATTTTATGTTGAAGTTTTATTCAATTTATCATACTTAATTGTATTTGTATATTCTGATTATTTTCATATTTTTATGTGATACACTAAGACTTATTTTGTTTGGATAAGTGTTTCATGGTTCTAAGAGTTATTTTGTTTGGATAAGTGTTTCATGGTTCCACTTAGTATTCCTATTTTAACTTCGAATACAGTTATGATATTGTTGTTTTTGTAGATTTTTCTTTCTTCTTTTTTGTATAGAAATTCCTGTAAGGGGTATAATTTTTAAAAGATTTGGGGAGAAAAAAAGAGAGAACTCAAAATTATCACTTCTATTTTATCTCCCTTAGTAACACGTATATTAACTTGGGCTGAAATGCAGTAATCAGCCAAATTAAATGATCTCATTTTTATTATTAATCTCAATATTTGACAATTAAGCCTAATAATACAAACAAAAATAATATATTAATGTTTCAAGTGTAGTATTTACTATTTACTAGTGTAAAGAAAGTTTGAGTATTTTGTTCAGATAATTTTTCTTTTGCTATTTATTACGTAGTATAACTGAAAATTACCTATTGAAGGCGTCGGCATTTGTCAGCAGTTAGGGGCGTTATAGCCGCATTTAATAATAAATGCCCATGGCTTTTATCATTTCTTTCATTTTGCCCTTGACAAAGACTGCACCCACTAGATATATTCTCTAAACAGTATGGTGTGCTCCCGTGGGAGCAAATTGTACAGTTGCTCCTATAGGCATAAGAGCCCGTGCGAGGATTATTTTCTATCTGAAATTTGAAGTTCTAATTTAGATTCAAAAGATATAATTTTGAGAGCAAAAGATAATTTTGTTTTCTATTACAACTAGTGTTATTATGATCACCGCGGCTATTGAACTGGCGAGGGGTACAGTCAAAATCAATACCAAATAATAATAATAATAATAAAAGTAGATATGCACTTTAACATAAAAAAACTATATTAAAAATAACCCAACTTTATTTTTTCTGGTCAAAATCGGCATCTCTGATTGGCTAGAACCAATCAAACATTAATTTTTTTGAATAGTTATCGACCAAATTCAATTTTTGTTTTAAACCAAAACAATCAAAACACTGATTGATGGTCCCGTGCATCAAACTAGTCAATCCAATCCGACATTGATAACAATGAGTACTACTCTATCGAACCATCCAAAAAATTGCATAGCCTATGTTTAATCCTAGATCATTACTTTCTCCTAGGGTACTTCTTGAGCGAGTATTTAATTATTATTATTTTTAATTTGATTAGTAAGTTAAACATTTAAGGTGGCACTTTAAACAATCAAAGTAAAACACACCCCCAAATAATATCGAAATGTGTTGTTTTAGTCTTGAAAATCCCTATGATGGTCTATAAATCTATTTCCATATTATGAAATTTAAATATTCAAAATAGTACAAATTGAACAAATCTACAAATACTTGAACATTTTGAAAATGGGCGGCCAAATAATACATTACAAGATACACTATTTTGAAGCCTTGAGATCCTTTTATTTTCGAATCCATATATCTCAAGGTCGAGATTATCAATTGAAGGACTTTTCAACATCAAAACAACCATTTCAATGAGTTTTTGAGGTGTATCTTTTATAATGAGTTTTTAAGGTATATCTTTTATAAGATTGACACAATATAGAATCATTTTCCTCGAAAATATTCTTAGCTCGGATTTTGCCCAAGGGAGTGAATATATACGTTATGCTCCCAGGGGAGCATAGGATCTGTTCGTTAAGATCAAACAAAACAGTGTCAGTGTGCAGTGGAAAAAAAGGAAAAGGTGAAAATAATTCATTCTCCTGAGAGCATACCGTCCATGGGTTCCCTTGGGCAAACCTCAAGCTCAGAATGTTTTTTGGATCTTGAATTTTACATATGTAAACTCCAGAACCTAGCGATCAACCTCATTTGGTACCTTTTGCTAGAAATATATAACCTCCAACATGCAGATCATAAAAATGCAAAAGAACAAATTTTAAAAGCTTAAAATAAAATTTCTTGGAAAAGATTTTTGGACAATTAGTTTGATATTTTTTGAGAGGGACAACCACTTTCAATTCATCTTAGAGATGAACGTTTGATGTGGGGATGCAAATGTAGGGCTCCCCCAACATATCAACCAATTTTCCTATAAAACCTAGGATGCAAATAACCCACAAATCTTTTGAATGGGGTTCAAATTAGGATTTGGCTTTGGGCTCGAGTAGTTAACAGTTGAAATAAACAATGTTGCATCTCGTATAGCCGATCTCAAATAGTTAGTTGAGAAAAGACTATGATGATGGTGATTAAAAATGTTGTATCTGAAACTCGATTTCCATTATTGAACAACCTAAAAAAGAAAATTGGGTTCTAAGCTAATTTCACCATGAATTACAACCAAATCATGGACAAAAACCAGAAACTGGAACAATGTTTCTTTTTTATTATTGCGTATTTTTTCAAATTTACAGCTGGTTTACATTTCATGACATAAGCATTACACTTGAGTGGTGGACACCACTGATTTGTATTCAATATGCTTCAGTGGTTGAGTGGTTTGCATTTCAAATATGATCATTGGTTTGCATTTCCATCATATGATCATCACACTTCAATAGTGATCTGACTCATGGCACACTAGGTTGTGTAAACAAGAAGCAAAACCTTTCCCTCACTAGATTGTGTAAACAATGAGCAAAACCTCTCTCTCTCTATATATACACATACACAAGGAACAAATTCACATCCAAACACTCCCTCCATCTCTCTCTACACAAGGAACAAATCCACATACAAAATAGTCCCTCTCTCACTAGATTGTGTAAACAATGGGCAAAACCTCTCTTTCTCTCTCTCTCTCTCTCTCTATATATATATATATATATATAAAAGGAACAAATCCACATCCAAACAGTCCCTCCCTCTCTCTCTACACAAGGAACAAATCCACATACAAAATAGTCCCTCTATCTCTCTCTACACAAGGAGCAAATCCACATCCAAACAGTTCTTTCTCTCTGTCTCTGTCTTGGCGCAAAACCACAACTGAGAAGTCTCTCTCTCTCTGACAGATGTTACTTATTCATTAATTGCAGACATTACGTCAATAGCTCAGAAATAAGAATTCAAAATTGCAGTCACAAAAATAACCAAAAGTTCTGAGAGAATTATACCCGGTTTAGCCAACTAATTTACTTCCTGGTTTGCCTCCATGTAAACAGAAGGTGCAAGTCTACATGCTGTCTCTCTCTCTCTCTGTTCGGAGTGTTAACATGGAACCTGGTGGAAATGAATTTCAAGATATGGGCTTGAACCTGTTTATTTCTCCAATCACTTTAGGGCTTATTTCCCAATCCATTACAAGGAATATGTTTTAAAACTGTTGCATGAAAAACCCAGTAATTATCACGAGAAACACACATTACAAGTTCAAAATCAAGAGGTTCATTCACCTGCATTCATTTCCCTCATCTAATAAGGGTGACGACTTTAAACTTTCCCTTCACCTATCCCAAGCCCGATAAAAGGAGTGGGTTGCATTAGGTAAGTAGCTAGCTAAATCTTTGCCGCATGTTATCATGAATCATGAACCTATGACCCTTGATAGAGAAGAATGAAGAGACGTGATTCATATAACCGAGCCCAAACAAATTGGGATGAGGCTTGGATGATGATGATAATGAGCTACGTTCATTTCACATGCTCCAATCAAAATATATGGAATATGAAAGGAACAAAAAGGAAAAGTGAGACATCTAAGACCGGTTATTGCACCTTTGTTTGGAGAAACAATCCAAGAAAAATTTCTCGAACTATGTGTGGAGAAACAACTAACTCCTAGACCTCAACCTACATGCCCCATTTCGTCCAACAGCTACAAGTAGGCTATGACTACTTTGCACCTGAAGTAAATAATTTTAGGGCACATTTGATAACTGGGAGTTCCAAATCCAAAAGCTAGACGTTCCAATTTGCAATGGCACTTTATTGTTTGATAACTAGAAGTGCTAAAAAAAACAGGCCTTACAAACTTGTAGCTTCTCAAAAAATGTGAACTTGCAGCTTCCATCCCCATAATGGAAGTTCACTTATCATGTTTGCTAGGAAGTTTGCTACTCACCTCCATTATCATTCATGTGTCTTTTCTCTCTCTAACTCATTTCTTCTAACCATGCCCTTTCTCTAATTTTCTATCATGCCTCCCTCTCTCTCATTGTAACACTTCTCTCCCAACTCACTTTATCGAAATGTGCCCCTTCTCTCTACTAACTCCCCTTCTCTAACCCTACCGTTTTCATAGCTAGCTATTTCTAACCACGCCCTTTCTATCTTGTTGCATCTTTTTTCTCCCTAAATCCTCTCTCTTACCGTGCTTCTTATCTCCAACCCTTTCTCTCTAATCATGCCCTTTCTTTCTCTAACATCTCTCTCTCTCTCTCGCTCTCTCTCTCCTCAAAGCTTTAAACTCTCTATCTAATCATGCTTTTTCTCTGACTCCAATCTCGATCTAAATATTCCCTCACTAACACCCTTTTTCTCTCTAACCATGACGTTTGCCTCTCTGTCTCTCTCTAATCATGACCTTTCCCTCTCTCTCTCTCCAAATGTCCCTTTGCATCTCTGACCCCTCTTAAGTCCTCTTTTCCTCCCCCTATCTCATTCTGTGAAGCCGTGAAGTCTAATCTCTGTGAAGCTTAGATCATGATGAAGTCTAATCTATGTATTTGAAAACTTCCAGACAACTCATCCAACAAGTATTCCAGCACTTCCAGACAATAGTTCAGCTTCCAAAGACCCAGAACTGCGAAATTCTAGGAAATCCCCAAATTCCAATTACTAAACGTGTATTACACAATCCCTTTAAACTTTCATCACTCACAATCGCTTTAAACTTTTAACACTTTCTAGTCCACATCTCAATGCATGTTTGGTGAAGACCAATTGATATACTGGACGATGTCGTCCATCAAAATGAAGAGTTCATGCTTTGAGATCATCCAAATGGATCTTACAAAACTAAAATAAGAAATTTACCACTAGATTTGACAAGATTTATAGGTACAGAATAAATAAAAAAGAATCAGTTATCTATAGATTAAAATTTCCGAAAAACATCATTTGGTGCATTACTTCACCTCAATATTACGCCTCTACCTCTCATTGTAAATGTGGAAGCGAAAACTCGTATTGGACTTCTTATTAGGGGAAAGTGCATCTTTACTGCTTGTGCTGATATCCTTTGGACAACTGAATTCATCACCATCACTCCTCTAATACCTTCATCTTGGAATGAAGGATCATCGATGCTGCTATGCTGTTAATCATTTTCAGATAATATGTGTACACTGTCCAGGGTATTATAAATGTTTTAGAATATGTGAGAGAGATAGAGAGATCAAAGGCATCTTAGAGAAACACAAACCAAGAAGGCAAGAACCAAGCAAGATTTCATAATGGAGATAGGCATCAATATGCACCATTTACTGTCAAATAAACATACAATTGCTGAATGTATGAGTGAGGAAGAGTCCAAAAAAATAGCTTTGCTGGGTCCTTTTCCAACAAGAAGCAACAAGGTAACACCTCCCCAAAATTATCATACATCGATGGCAAACAAAAATATGAATTGCACAACTGCTGTTAGGGACATCTTACAAGAAGATCTAATTAAATAAATTTGATAAACTCTATTGGAGAGGGAAAATTAACCCTGCCATGAATGCAACATTTATAGCATTGGTACCGAAGAAAGCTCCATAGAAACTGTGGGAGCCATCATACCAATTACCCTACTTGGGAGATCATATAAAAGTATAGCAAGTATAGCAAATGTATTAGTCAATAGACATAGACAAGTACTGGATTGGGAAATCACAGGACCTAAATCTGCTTTCATAGAAGGAAGACAAATTATGCACAGTATAATGATCGCAGAGGAGCACATACACTCAAAGACCATTGAATGAGGAGCAGGAGTCATATACAAAGTGGACTGTTAGAAAGCCTATGATAAAGTGAACTGGGTTATACAGGAAATTATGGGGAGAATGGGATCTGAAGCCAGTAGAAGAATCTGGATAAATTGATGTTTATTAAGTGCCCACTTCTCAATATTGGTGAATGGCAAAGCCATAGGATTTTTTAAGGCTCCACAAGGTACAAGTTTGTCACCATTCCTCCATACCATAATTGCAATCTTTTAGTGTTATGTTCCCTTCAGCATACGCTAGTTTAAAACTTCAAGGTGGTAATCAATGTTCAAAAAACCGGTTCAACTTGGAACCGGCCAGTCAAACTGAAACCAAGCACTTGCCGATCCCGATTAACCCCAGTAATGGGGAACCAGCGCCCCCCCCCCCCCCCACATGAGCAGTACATAACTGGCCCGTTTTGAGTCTAAACCGGCCGACTTAAAAAAAAAAAACTGGGCGGTTTTCCTATCAGCTGGCCGGGTTTTAAAAAAATTAGGCGGTTTCATATACTGTGCCAATAATAAATACCAAGCCTCATGGGTTCACTTTGGGTGCTTTTTTCACAGCTTTTGAAGCTTTTTTTCAGTGCTTTTCATAGCATTATCGAAGTGAATGATTGTGCCAAGCAGTGTAGGAAAAATCAAGCCGGGCTGGTCAACCGGTCAGGGGCCAGTTCCGAGTAACTCCGAACCGGGCCGGTTAAACAATTTGAGTCAGTCAAGTAAAAAATTTTGTTTAAAATGAGTTAAAAAAATTCAAAAATGTAGATTTTATGTATATTTTGTTATTGCCTACAATTATCTTGAAAAAAAAATAGAGATAATGAAAAATGACTACTGAAACAACTTTTTATATAAATTCATATATGAAGACTAGGGAGTTATATAACACAATTTAGAATTTGACATATTAATTCAATGGAGGGAGTTACAAAGTGCAACTGATACTAGCTAGTAGTAATAAGGGTGGTGAGGGGGGGGCTCACGGTACTCTTGTGTCTCGCTATTAGGGTCCACTCTACAAAAAATTTAAGTAAGTCGTGGTGGAGTTTGTAGTGCCGCAATTGTGCCCCCTTACCAATTAGGAATATTTTCCGTGGTATCCCCTTGGCCAAAGTCTCCTAGACTCCAGCCTTTGTGCTCTCCCCCACTCTAGCCTGTGTTATGGCCCTCAGCAACTTCGACATTGTCATCATCCTCAACAACGTGCTTACAATGTCAGCTACAGACGTCTCTCCCTTGTCAAGTAGTTGTTATGCCTCGATGTTTGGACTTCCTCCTGAACCAATCTCAGTGCATCATCTACCTCAACATCATGTACTGTATCATATTGTACCACACTTGCTCTTGCCAATCGTTTTCCATTACCCACCATCTGTTTCCTCGTCATCATGATCATCATCTTCATCTTCTATATACTCCTCATCGTCGGTGCCCATGTCCTCTGCCATGTCTCCTACATTAGGTGCTGAAACATCCTCATTATCATCCATATCAGCAACTGCTCCCTCAAGGAAATTTTGGTCTAATACTGTGGTCCTTTACAATGCCCACTCATCGGCATGGTTCCTTTGGAAGATGTAATCGAGGTTGATGGATGTGTAGTTTGTGAGGGTTCTCTTTATTTTCCTCTCTCAATTTCATGTTATAGTGGATGTACACTAGGTTGTGCAGCGTTTGAGTCTTTAACCTATTTCACCTAGAGGCATGTATCCACTGGAATGTACTCCAATTTCTCTCATACCCCGAGGAAGCACAGGTTTGACTCAGTACTCTGACTGCAATCTTGTATAACTGCTTCATTCGAATTCCGTGTAGAGTCTACCATTGTGCTGACATAGATAACAACTACATTGTGATATCCATGCGGCAAGTAATTTATGATTCATTGTCGCAATTTATATTTCATTCTCAAGTCTGAGTAAGTTTGGCCTAATTAATATTGTGATAAACAATATGCAGGGTTCTTTCTTAACCACAAAACTTGTACTCCAAGGCCAGGTTAGATGACTAATTTATAATGGAGGGGGTCAGGAACTGCATTTACAGCAACACGTGTTCGTAATAAAAGTATTAATTCAGAATAACGCATTGCATTACTTCGTTGTACAAATTTTTGGTATACACATCTTGTTCTTTGAAGTTTATTATGTACATGAAAAAAGCCGATGAATTTTTATACAATAATGTACAAATAGCAACGGCAAAATTGTACTCGGGTTAGTTATAATAGTTTAGTACACTACTATTTGTGGGTTTTTCTAAATTTACTTTTTTCTATTATTAAGTATTTTATGTTTGTCTATGTCAGCACAATGGTCAGCACAATGATGGACACTACATAGAATTTGAATGAAGCAGTTACAAAATATTGCAGTCAAAGTACTGAGTCAAACTTGTGCTTCCTCGAGGTGTGAGAGAAACAGGAGTACATTCCAATGGATATATGCCCCTAAGCGAAATAGGTTAAAGGCTCAAGACGCTACACAACCTAGTGTACGTCCACTATAACCTGAAATTGAGAAAGACAAATAAAAAGGACCCCCACAAACTACACGCCCATCAACCTCGATTATGTCTTCCGAATGGACCTCTCCGATAAGTGGGTATCGCAACGGACCGTAGTATTAGAACAGGATTTCTTTAGTGAAGCAGTTGCCGATATAGATGATAATGAGGACGTTGCAGCACCCAATGAAAGAGACATGACAAAGGACATGAACACTGACGATGAGTACATAGAAGACGAAGTTGAGGATCAAAATGGCGAGGAAATGGAAAACGATTGGCAATAGCAATCTTGGAGGATTGTGAAGGGGCACAACATGATACGATGCCTAATGTAGAGGAAGATGGTGCACTAAGATTGGTTTGGGAGGAAGTCCAAACATTAAAGCACAACAGCTACTCGATAAGAGAGAGACGTAGCCAGAACTGATACCGTAAGCACGTTGTTGCGGAGGACGACAATGTCAAAGCTGTTGAGGGCCATAACACAGGCCAGGGTGGGGCAGAGCACAAAGGCTGAACGAGTCTAGGAGACTTTGGCCAAGGGGATACCAAGGGAAATATTCCTTATTGGCAAGGGGGCACGGATGCGGCACTACAAACTCCACCAAGGTTGACTTAGATTTTTGGCAGAGTGAACCCTGATAATGAGACACAAGAGTACCTTGAGCCCCCTCGCCACTCTTATTACTACTAAAAGTATTACTTGCACTTTGTAAATCCCTCCATTGAGTTAATGCATGTCAAATTCTAAATTGTATTGTATCATCTCCCTAGTCTTCATAGTTGAATTTATCTAAAAAGTTGTTTCAATAGTCATTTTTCATTAATTCTATTTTTCAAGATAATCGTAGGTAATAACAAAATATACATACAATCTATATATTTCCATTTTATTTTTCTTTTAATTTTTTTTGTTTGGGGTGGGGGGGGGGGGGAGGACAAAAAAAATGTTACTTGACCAACTCGAACCAGTTAACCAAACTGGTTCTGAGTTACTTGGACCGGCCCATGACCAATTGACCAGCCCAGTTCGATTTTTCCTACGCTGGTGGTAAATAACAGCCCAATTATCTCACATTTGAAATATGTAGATTACACAATCATATTTTGCCAAACTGAGGAAACACAAGTGAGAAACCTATGTTGTTTTTGAAATATTTGGAATAGTTATTGGATTGAGAGTGAATCGGTCGTGAAAGTAGTCTAGTTCAACATCTTCCAGCCACTGTTGGGTGCGCTTTTGATTCACAACCCTGCAAACACTTGGTTGAGTACGTCACTATTTCAAGGTCATCTGCCAAGATCAATATGGGACCCATTAATGAAAGATTCCAGGAAATACTAGACATGTGGAAAAGTAAGGGCGTATTTGATAACATGAAGCTTCGGCTCCCAAAGACGCATCTTTCAAGAATTATAGCACTCCCCATGTTTGATAACGGAAAGTGCTATGCTATTTTGGAAGCCGGTGCTTCCTGCAGCTTCCAAAATAGTGTAAATAAGGGAAGTGGCGGCTTCCATGCTCTCCCATAGACGTCACGGGAAAATGCAGTTTCCAAAGCATATCTTTCACCCAAGGTCTAAAAAAAGGATCATTGACCGGATCCCCATCTAGAAAACCGGCCCAGATCAGCGATCCAGCCAATAAAAGAAAATTAGAAAACAAAAAAAATTCAAAAAATAGAGGGAACCGACTGGTTCCCGATATTTTGGGGAAACCAGGTTGTCCTTTCTGGTTCTCAATATGGATAGGCCGGTTACAATCATCGCCGTTTTTCTAAACCTTGTTTTCACAAATCAAATGCGCCCTAAATATTTAACTCTTAGAAGACGGACTGGTCGGATAAAGTCACCTCTCACAAACCTCCCAATATACCTTGTGTCATTATTTAGAAAACAATATCATATTGTTAAGTTACTGGAACCTTTAATGATAACGTTTTTGTAGGGAAACCAAGAAGGTAAGAAAATTTCCATCTTGTAAGATGGGATAAGGTATCTCCACCGAAAAGAAGGCTCAAATTGATGAGTACCACACTTCTTGCCAACTAATGGTGGAGAAGCACTAATAGCACAACTCAATTATAGACGGAAGTGATTTTCAGCAAATATAGAATGGACGTGGAACTCTCCATAATTCGAAGCTCTAGTAAGAAATCAATATATCTTCTATATGGAAGGCAATAGACCATTGTAAACCCCTATGCCTCAGACACTAGAGAATTTCAATAGGGCAAGGTGATGAAATCAATCTATGGTTTGACAAGTTGATTGTAGACAAACCCTTGAGGATAGGATTCCCTAAGGAATTTGGTAAGGTGGTTCATTCCCTAGCCAAGGTGAGAAGTGTGGTGACAAGATAAAGGAGTGAATCTAAGTGGAATATTGAATAAAGTATAGAAGAATGTCAGATCAATTTGTAGGCAGCTTACTAGTCTACTAATGGGACTCCTGCAACTAGTGTACCACTCCCCACAGAAAGATCAAATTACATGCAACCTTGCAGCATCTGTAGAATTTATGGTAAGGTCCCACTAAAGATTGCTATTGTTGGGAAAACATAGATCATTACGCAACAACATAGCAAAGGTATGGAATCTCCCGGACCAGTTGACTAAAAGCATGATAGCCACTGTTGCAAAATGGGTATTAGTTACCGAAGAATGATGGGCCATAGCCAGGCACAATTTGAAGAACAAGGAGCAATCATTGGCAGCCACCACCAAAAGGAAGCATCAAGCAGGATTTTGAAGGAAGCTCCCTTGGCAAGCCAGGGACAGAGGGAATAGTTGGCATTGTAAGGGATCACAAGGGCATATTCTGGTCCATGTTGTAATACAACAGCAAATGAAGCTGAAGCAAAGGGCACTACTTCAAGTTTTGAAATTAAGACAAGTATTTTGAGGACAGAAGGTGGTAGACGGAGATTCCCAGAATATGATCAGATAATTAGAGATGAAGCTAACTTGCCACGAAGAATAAAACCGATACTATATGTGAGATCAGGGACATCCTAGCTATAGAGAGACAGATAGAGAGGCAGATGATTTGGCCAAGCAGGAAGCTAAGCACATGGATTTGATTGCCAACAGGTTTGACTCTTAATATATTTAAATTGAAAAATTATCCTTATTTTCAAAAAGACAATGAATTAGAGCCCACAACTCTTACTAATCGTTGATGGGTAATGTGCTGTTAAGAGATGGAAGGAAAAGCCAGATTTCTAAATATTCAAAAGCCATATTTCTCTCTCCTCTCTCAAAATTCAAAAGCCAATCTATCTCTCAACAAACAGTAATCAATGAGTTTCAATGCCAGAATTCCCCTCTTCCTCCCTCAATCTACATGAATAATCTCAAACAACAGGAATAAAAAATTCAAACCAGATTTCTCTTCCGATCAATACAAATCAACGAGCTTCAATGCCAGTTCTCTATTTTCCTCTCTCAATCAACAGGAATAACAAACAGCAAAAACGCATTCCCAAAATAAAGGCCAACACTAATCCATAGTTATGATGCTGCTCCTCCATTCCTATCACATGAATTTCTTAAATTATGTAGATAACCAAATTAACATGGCTGATGTAGCCGTCGATATTCACATACTACAAAAACCAGACAACTACTACTAATATCAGATTTTTTCATAACCAACTTCAGCACAGAATTGTATTCAATGATTAAACATTGCCATTAATGAGTAACTGTATACAGCAAGTAAAGCAACTGCAAACATACAGAGAATGACAATGCAAAATACTACTTTCAGAATACTACCAAAATACACTCAACCTTCTGAAGTTAAATCCACAATGTAAAAATTTTAGAAAAGGAAATTAATAATATTATAATTGTAAGACTTCTCAAAAGAATATTTGACTTGTAAGGGATATTCCTGACATGGATAAAGCATGACGTCATTTCTCATAAGGCTTTTAGTAGCTCAGAGAGTCAATGTTTCAAATTTTGAGAAAACGGTATCTATGTTGTTCCCCAAATTAAGTATTTCCGCAACACAATTAAGGTTTCATTTAAAGAGGTTTAAAAGGCAGACCACCATGGCCATTAGCCGGAACAACAGTTCAGATACATGCTTCAAGGATTTATAACTAGAACATGGGTGGGGGGAGGGGGTGGCACGAGAGAGAGAGAGAGAGAGAGAGAGAGTTTGAAACCTAGCCAATATTTCTTGAAGAAAGTTCATCCCCGTTGATAGAGTTTCACAAACCTAGCCAATATTTCTTGAAGAAAGCTCATCCCCGTATATAGTTATCTTCCAGAGCTCTGCTTGGAATATAAATACAGAGCCCTTCTTGGGCACGACTGAAAGTACAACAAACAAGTGCAATCAGCAGGATAATGCATAGACAAATAGCCATTCAATATAAATGAACATCACGCCAGCTGGAGTTTAGCAAAACATTTCAAGGAAATAATCAGCTTGCAAATTAATATCCCTGAATATACTTGCATGATCATCAAAACATTTAAACAACATTCAAACCAAATCAACATAAAAATTAACTCACCGGTGAAAACAAAATAAATAAGCATAAGCCAGTTCCCCTGTACCAGTAAGACCCTATTGTCTCAGGTATCTGATCATAAGTTGGAGAAAGGAGTCACAGGAATAACAGAACACATGTTCCAAGGTTGGTCTGCATGCGTGTGTGCGCGTCAATGACAATGAGTGTGTTTGTCTTCTTTTGGGGGTGTTCTAATCATAATAATATCCTATTTCTAGTTTTCTTTTTTTCTTTTTCTTTCTTTTTTACTTTTTTTGTTTAGTTACTTATTGACAATCTTAGTTTTAGGTTATTTTGTTTCTTTTATATTCATCTTTTGACAATGATTAGAGCACATTCCTTAACTTTATTTCATTTATTTATTTATTTTTATTTTTATTTTTTTTGTGTGTATGTGTTCATGTGTGTGTGTGAGAGAGAGTAAGAGTGAGAGAGAGAGAAAGAGAGAGAGAGAAAGGCGATGGCAAAAGAATTGGAGATGGAGCATCTATGCACAGAACTCAGTAGAGGAAGTAGGAGTTGTAATCACCAGGGGTTTGTGAAGACTAAAAACAGAGGCGCAAGTGGAAGGATTATAAAAATAATTGATATTTGGTATTACTGATGGTGAAGATGGAGTATCCAAAAATTGTATCACCATGTGGAGGTTCTAAGCATATTGCTTAAATTTCCAATGTGTTGGCAATTTAGACCAAGGAAATTGTCAACCATTTCATAAGATGCCCTGGATCAGTGTGGATAACATCACATAACCTCCAAATTTCACAGGTTACAAAACATAGGATATAGGGTTGGGGATGAAGTCCAAAATATACTATTGCAACAGGGTTCAAGTATTCGATTCTGAAGCTGTTTCTAGTCAGAGGTTTTAGGATAATCAATAGTATAGAACTGCTTTATGCAACTGGGTGTAAACTGTGCCTGAGGTGGGTTGAGAAGCTAACTTGACATCCTCCCAATGGTCACCTACTAACCTATTTTTCATGTACTTCGAATTTTCTAGAAAAGTTCATTATCAAAAAAAACAGTGCTTTGGGAGAGGAAATAGAATCATCTTTTTCATTTCATAAGCAAAATAGGAGCACTACTTTTTTTCTAAAAAAAAGAAAGTTATAAAACCACCAAAAGCTTTGAAATAACTACCCAACTGGTATAAATTTGGAAAATATGAACAGTTCTCCAAAACCCCAAAAGGGGAGGCAAGTCCAGTCACACTCCCTTGCACACATCATGCATCCGCGCTATAGTGGAAGCTATAACAATCAAATAGGTAATGCCATATAGCTACAATTTTATCAAAATAATGGATAACCATTATGAAATAATACAACAATTATATTCAGATGGATATCAAATATGTACCTCGAAAATGATTATCATAAGTAACAATTCCAAATGTTTCTGCCGTTTCTCGAATCATAATTCCCTGTGTCCCAGTAAATCCTGCTACTCTACATTGAACAACTGAAACATAACCACAAACAACAGGATTTGGCAGGAATCAAGATCAAGAAAAAGGACCCATAATGCAGATTTTTCTCGACATGCTCTCATCTCCAATCCCCTTTAAACCAGGGAAAAAGATAAACAGAAGTGCAGCACTTAACAAATATACCATAGTATGAACTAAAAGATATAAACTACCTGATAGAATGGCACCATGTAGGTCTGCAGTGAGAAGACATTGAGCAATCTGGCCTTTCCTGAAAATGCCAACCAAAATGCATTACTGGATAGATTAACATCACCCCATCATATAAGCAACCTCAACATTAGTATCTCCATACAACCTAGCGTAGGCATACAAGCACCATGGAAAGCCATTCATTATTACTGATCAAAGGTCACCAAAGAACAGCAATCGCCCACACCTTTAGCTCAGTAACAAGACATGAAATTAAAATCTCACCTCTGCTCTTGCAGAAGCTGGACTACATAGTCCTTCCACATTTCATGCATGGACTTGTAAAGAGCAAATCTGCCATGAGCAAGAGAAATTGTCCTAATTAAGAATATGAAGAGAAATGCAATAAAATGAAAGCCACACATGAACGTATTTTTCATCACAGTAGGTCAAAGGAACCATTAAAAATAAAATTTAATTGGGTATAAGAAGAATTTGGCACCATTAAAAATAAATTTTAATTGGGTATAAGAAGAATTCCCATTGTTAGTCCGTTCCTTGTAGTTTCTTTAAAATAAAACCAATTGTCACCTCTAGCCTTACTTGTGGAACTTCTTTGGCAAATCAAGTGATCCATGTTTTCGATGTTGTCGCATGGACATATGACGTTTAGAGCACTTTGAAAAACGTTGTCGAGCCTTTGCTCGATTGCTAGGTGATGCCTTGCTTCCTTGTAGTATATAATTGTCCAAAAGAATGTAATTTTCTCGTATTTTCATGCTCATTGAACCCTGCATATACTTCTGAGCTTTGTCACCACTTTGCAGAAGATTATGTACAAGCCCATCAACAATGTTGCTTTGTCTCCCCGTGGGAAGCTGTCCATTTTTAATTTCAAATCAGTATTTAAAGACAGACAAGCACATGCATGCAGGCAGGCGGTCTCATAAATATTCCAAGTGCACGCTCTTATTACCAAGAATAAAAAGAAAGAAAAACACAATTTTAAAATGAGAGAGAAGGACAAACACCTCAAAGTCAGACCTCAGTAAACTCTCATGTACAGGTTGAGAGAGCACATTGTATGCAGGATCATTTGCTTCCATATCTGCATGCCATCATCAGATAGTTTATAAGTATCATTTCTCATTCCATGGAAGTCACTTCAACTATGAAAATACAAATTAAACAGTGGAGATGACCAAAAATAAATTTCCAGTAATTAGGATTAGGAGTAACCCCAAAAGAAATTTGTCTCAGCATTTTCCGAAAACTTGACGAGTTATGCTAATTAAGGTTTCGTGGCTTTCTTTTAAGACCACATTGAAAAGAGATTTTTCTCCAGCTCTAGAATTACGTTTTTTGTTAATTTTTCTTCAAAGCAATAAAATATTTTCTTTTTCAGTGTAGACCTTAAAAATTTTGTTCTAGTGCAAGAGAAGAAAAACGAATCTTGGCTTCTTTTTTTTGTTCAGATAACGAACACGAGAATTATATTATGGATATATTTCTTAAGAGAAAATATCTATAATATGGTTCCCATGTTCTTTATGTCAACAACTACAAAGATTCATTCAGTTGTTCAGATGGCTAAGCAATCTCAGTTCTCTGTTTCAGTTGGCTCAAATCCAATGGGTCTGCCTTAGGTAAGTTAATCAGCTACTTGAGCAATGGTTTGCTCCATGACTTGGGAAGGTTGATCTTATTACCAGGTGATTGGTCTTGGATGTTGTTCTTTTTGCAGATATGGAATGAAAGAAACAAAAGGAGATTTGAGGGGATTGTAACAAGCTTGCAAGATCTCAAAGAATATATTTTGGAAAATGATGCGGAATCAGTTAAAAACTCTGTCGTGGCTAGTCCCAAGCTAGGATAAGGGAGGAGGGTTGTGTTAGGTAGGCAGCTAGTGTAAAACTTTACCATATCCTTTCATGAATCTTGAACCTATGTTAGAGCATTGGATATAACCCTTGCTATAGTAGAATGGCAGAATAGAATTCTTATAGCCGACCCCAAATAGTTGGGAGAAGGCTTAGATGATGATGATGACGATGGTGATGGTGATGATGATGATGTGGAATCAGTTAAAGTGGTGAAGGCTTTCTCTGTGGTGCTAAGAAGTATATGTTTTGCATCCTTAGAGTTGTACCTAGAATAAAATTGATTAAGTCTGGAAATGGTGCTCGGCGGTCTACCCCTCCTGAGAAATGCACTAAATTGAATTTAGATAGGTGTTTTTAAGGAACTATGGCCCTGCAGGCATTGGAATTATTGCCAGAGATCACAATGGGGTTATTTTGCTTTCCTTTTTTGGCCCTTGCAGAAACAGCAGCAAATGAGGCTAAGATTAGCACTGAGCTATAGGGTCTCAGGTCCAACTTACCTGAAGAAGGTATCTTTTGTTGAAGGGGATTCACTTAATGTTATAAGGTGGTGCTCAGGTTCTGAAAGACTACCTTGGGTCGACATCCATTTTTTTTTTGAAAATAAGGATTTGGTGAATGCGAGATACGTTCAATTTAACCACTTCCATAGAGAAACAAATGGAGAACCCGAAGCTCTCGCCAAGAATCGTGTTACTAAATCAGTTTTATCAGTTATTAGGTCTGGATTTGCTTTGGAGATTTTTTATATGGTCATCCTTGGACCGTCTCAGTCCCCAATTTGTAAAGTTCATCTCTCACTTGGAAAATCTTTACCTATTGAATGAAAAGTTACAAGTTAACACACAAAAAAACCTAGTACAACAAAGATATATAATGTAGTTAACAGATACTCACACGTCTATAATTTCGTTCAACCAAAAGCAAACATCTTGAATGTCCAACGATCAACATCAAATACAAGAAGCCACTAGAAATACTAACTGACTTGCAAATTACTTCAAATTATTTTATGTTTAATTATACATTTATACTAACGAATTTCAAAATAAGGATGTGTTCCATATAATTATCTTACTTACATTTGCTTTAAAAGGATAGAAAATAGTTTCTATAGTTCTAACAAATCATCATCATCATCATTTTAGCTTTTCCCCAATTAGTTGGGGTCGGCTACATGAATCTTAGTTCTCTATTCTGCTCTATTAAAGGTCATATCCTCGATGAGGCCATAAGTTCCCATATCTTTTCAGACTACTTCCAACCACGTCCTTTTGGGCTTTACCCCTTGCCCTTTTTAATCCTTCCACTTGAACTAATTTGCACCTCCTAACAGGTGTTGTACTTGGTCAGCGCCACACATGGCCAGTACACCTAAGTCTACTCTCTCATTTTATCGCCTATTGGTGCTACACCTAAATTCTCTCGAATAGATTCATTGCAAATTCTATCCCTTCTTGTCTTATCACTCATCCATCTTAGCATCCTCATCTCCGTTACACTCATTCTATGGGTATATTATTTTTTATCCACCCAACATTCCGTCCTATAGAACAAAGCTGGTCTCACTGTTGTCCTATAGAACTTGCCCTTTATTCAAAGTTCTAACTTTGTGTTGACGTCGTTTCGAATCTCATCAATCAAAACTATGTCATCTGCGAACAACATGCACCACGGTACCTCATCCTGTACATACCTAGTTAAGTTGTCCATAACTAAGACAAAGAGATACAGGCTCATTGCTGACCCTTGATGTAGACATATTGTCACTGAAAACTCACTCGTCTCTCCACTAGTTGTTCGTACACTAGTAACCGCTCCATCGTACATATCTCTTACTGAGTCGATGGAGTATCTAGAGATGTCTTTCTTTTCCAACACCGACCAAATCAAATTACTATATCATAAGCTTTCTCTATATCAATAAAGACCGTGTGGAGGTTTTTTTCCTTTGCCCTAAACTTCTCATCAGTTGCCTAAGTACGAAAATAACTTCAGTTGTTGACCTTCCTGGCATAAAACTAAATTGGTTTTCAGATACACTCGTTTCATGCTGTAGTCGTTGCTCAATGACTCTTTCCCAAAGCTTCGTAGTATGGCTCATAAGCTTGGTCCCTCGATAGTTTACATAATTCTGTATGTCTCCTTTGTTCTTGTAATAGGTACCACAATGTTTTTTCTCCATTTGTCTGACATTTTCATTGTTCTCAACACCTTGTTGAACAGCTTTGTCAGCCAATCAATGCCAATTTTTCCCATGCATTTCTAAAACTCTATCCGGATATCCTAAAGCCTTTCCTATCTTCATCATTTTCAAAGCTTCTTTCACTTTCGACATCCTAATCCTACTAATGTATCTATAAACTCCGCTGTCACTTGTTCCAGCAGTCCCTTCTACCACTATGTTCCAATTTTGTTCGCCATTTAACAATTTTTTATAATAGACTCTCCGCCTTTCGTTGACGTCATCATCTTTTACCAAAACCTTTGATCCTCACTCTTAATGCATTTAATAATGTTCTAACAAATAATAAGAATAATCTTTTGTAAATTGTTCTAAACTCTACTCTTAATAGAGGGAAAATGATAGAGCATATTCATCTCTATGATATCAGAGATCTAATTTATCAACCGATAAGTTCTACAAACACAATGAATTATAAAATTTATCGAATTTGCAATGGGAAAATCTCAATTTAACCATGAAATTTGTCAATGGTTGTTACAAAATTGACAAGTAAAAGAAGCCACTTTGAAAATTGCAGAATACCTTGTTTAGATGAAGATGATGGAGAAGCTTTCATAGAAGGCATCAACACTCGTGTAGCAGAAGCAGGAGAATCCGTGGCTTTTCTTTTACTTTCTTCTCCATTAAAGGATTTCTTTGAGTTCTGAAGTTGCAGAGCTTCAGCTTTCGCTGCTAAAAACCTGCGTTCTAGTGCCTCAAGGCAACGCTTTTTCTGCTCCAAAACTTCGGGGCTAGGGTTAGGGTCTGTATCAAGCGCCATGGATCGGCTGGAAGCTTTTCAGAAGTTGCAGAGAAACTGAAACTTATGAGAAAGGGAGACTTCGAGTTTGAATGACAATTAATTTTATCAGCACTAAACTGTTTTATCTAAAATTAATATAACCTCCATAATTATACTTTAGTTAACTTATTCTAATATATATGAAAACTATGTACCCGACCTCGTATCCGGGTGTCGGTCCAAATGTTGGACCCGAATATTATTTGGGTTGGGGCCAGGGTCATGCCAGACCAGCCCCACACCTTAGTCATTGAGTATACGATGGCAATTATGTATCTTTACGAGTGCAAGGTGTTCATAGTGTCACAATATTGACATATTTATAGTATTATTGAAAAAAAAAAAATCATAGTCACATGGTATATGATAGTAAAAAACAAAAGCAATCAAAAAAAATAACAATCTCATAGTCATAGACGTGCAAGGGATCCAACGAATCTAGGTATGGGTCCAAATTTCAGATCCAAATATTATTTGGGTCCCGATATGTATCCAGTCGGATCCGACTCATTACCACCCCTAAACTAAGGGTAAACTCGTTAATACTACAGTAATGGTGAAAGTCGAATACACAATTATCAAACGCCATCCAAGAGTGAGCTGGGATACACATTTCATTATTTTAGTTGAAACGGGACAAAAAATTATAGCATAAATACTTTTTTGCCTCAAAATTTTGATGCAAACACCAAAAATGTGTGATCTCCTTAGAAAAACATTTCCGGGAAAAATATTTTTAGGTATCCAAATGACCATGATCTCACCTTCCAAAGATTCAAGATCCTTGTTCAACCTTTTAGGCAAAAAGTGGAATTTATTTTATTCTTTTTTTTTACTATGTTAAAAATAAACTTTATCATGATCCAAACCTTATCCCAAATATTTAAGATAAGCTAAAATTACATCCCAAAATTGCATCCCAATTTTTGGGGTCCTAATAGAAACATGGTTACGTTTTATCTAAGAGAGTAAATGGACAGTACATTCCTACATGAACTTAAAATATTTTTTATTATAAATATTGGGATGCTAACAAAAAATTAGTTTTTATGATTTTGAATACCTTGATCTTACGCTTTGAAAATTAAACGGTTATAACTCAGTCTTTGATGTTTGAAGGCTATTTCAAAATAAAACACCCGACTCACCTATTCGTCATATTCGTTATATGCGGACTCTTTGAAAATTAAACGGTTATTATTTTTCGTTATATGCTAGTACCTATTCAATAAGAAAATAGAGATTCGTACTAAAATAGAAATTGCATAAATCCATTCAAATCAAATTTATAATTCCTAAGGTCTCTCTCGTTAAAGAGGTAGTCCTACCAAAAATAAACATAATCACTTCTATCCTATCAAATCAAGTAGATACATATCTAAAAAACAGATAAACATGTAAAAAAGTAGACGAAAAGAAGAAACTAGTTTGAATATAAGCCGTAAAAATTAGAGCAGAATGACGGATTAGGATTCGTATAGTTGATCCCAATTAATTGAAAAAAAAAGTTATAATGATGATGATGATGATAGAAATTGAACAAGAATGAGGAATATATAAGGTTGACGCCTTGAAAAATCAAAGTGAGATGCGCCTTCAAATGGTGCCAAGATATGTCAGTTTCGTGTAGAAAAATCTCTACGATGGCCAAAAAATATATTGTCATTCCTAGTTATGAAATTAAAGCTTCAAAAGTAGTATTTGAAAAATCACGAAAATTGACAATCCAGATAATGCATTACAAAATGCAGTAATTTTAGGATTTAGCATTTTTTTTCTCCCTCATATTAATACATCTTGAGGTCGAGCTGATCAATTATCAAGTTTTTTCAATGCTGGAACAACCTCCTATAGTAAGTTTTTACCCGAGGGAGTAAATGGATAGTATACTCCACTGGGAGTATAAAATGTTTTCCTACAAAAGTGACCACATCACGGGAAACCATATTTAGCAAGTCGGGGACTATCAATAAATCGGCTCACCATAAAATCAGAAACAAATTGTTTTTATTTTAAAAAGTTAGATGAAAACATCGGGTAAAAACTACATATCAGGAAAACTACTGCATATAAAGATATCGGTAATATATTAGATTAGGCTCAAAAAATTAGAGTCAAAAAATCAGATAATTTTATAATATTATAAATTTTGAAATTCTAAAAAATAAACATTATGTCAAAAAGTCATCAATAATTAATTCGTCTATAAAAAAATTACTATACTAATATAATTAAGTCAATTAATTTAGATGCCTCATGAATCTCATCTAATCATTCAATATTAAATACATAATTAACTAGTATATACAAAAAAATTTGTACCACATAAATCTACCCATTAAATACTTTAAGAAACATCACACCTACTTATTACATATCAAAAACAAATATACTATATAAATTTATTCATTAAATACTTCAACTATGGTATGGTGACAAATATACTATGTAAATTGATGGGTGCGGTTTCTATAAGGTTGCAAGCTTAAACAATCCAATTAAGGCGCACCTCCAAATTTTATCATAACACACGATTTTGGGATAAAGAAATCTTAGGATTATCTAAAAACCTATTTTTATATCTAATTATAAAATTTTAAACTCCAAAAATGATTAAATCAAGTAGATCTATAAATATATGAAAATATTGGAAATGGACCGTCTATATAATAGCAAGATGCATTATTTTTTAGACTAAAAATCTCGCTTTTTTCTTTCATATTCATACATCTCCATGTCGAGATCGTCAATTAGAGAGTTTTTAAACATTAAAACAATATTTTTTGTTGGAGTTTTGAGGTGCATCTCTGATTCTACATTTTAAGGTTGCAACCTTATATAAATATTTCCCTAAATTGATTCATTAAATACTTAAACATCACACCAATTTAGCTTAGAAGGTACAAAAAAATTACACGGTTTTTGTTTTCTCGTTATAATTATTTGACTATAGTATGGTGACAATGGTCACTCTATACCTATGGTTAAAGTTTTATAAATTTTTTTAATTGACAAGAGGCTGGTAGAAATTTGGGTTTCATATCTATGCATTTACGGTTTAGAGAGAGAATAAGTGTTTATAGTTTAGAGAGAGAAAAAAGAAGAAAGAATAGGTCTGGGCTCATAGCCATAGTATAAGGAAGAAGGCGGTTTAGAGAGAGAATGAAGAAGGAAGAAATAAAGGGGCTGGGCTCATAGTCATTAGGGTTTATAAAGAGAAGAAAGAAGAAGAAATAAATCATTGGTTTCACAAACCTTAATGGAAAAGGCCCTAACTGATTTTTAGTGGTTTTTTTTCTCTGATTTGGGATGTTGTTTGAAGGAAAACCCTAACTATTATGAGTGAATAGGCATGATTTTTAGAGAGAGAAAAGGATTAGTGTTTTTTCATTTCCTTGGGGAAACAAGAAGCAGAGCCGAAGGATTAGGATTGGGGAACTAATCCTATATGTACGCTTGCTTGCTCCTGTAAGTTTACACTGTACACTATATTGTTTATTTTTGTTATCACATAATAAAAAACAAAATATCGTTTACTTGGTTTTGTAGTTACACCCTCTGCTTCTCATTCATTAGTAAAAAAACTATGTTTTGAGCTCTAATTTGTGCCATAAACGGTATTTTCATAAAAACAATTATCACAAATAATCACATAAATTTGCATGTATATGCTTTTCTTTACAAAACGATTTGCTATAAACAGTATTTCATTTACATAATGATTTTCCATAATAACAACTTGCATCTATCTGTTGAAGTTTTTTTAATAAAGGGTAAAAAAATCCATACCTTTAATCAGCAATTTGAAGAACCCAATGGGGATAAAAATTATATTTTGGGTTTCTTTTTAAATAATTTTTTTTTTTTCAAAAAAGCCATGAAAGTAACAATTGTTGCAATACACAAAATAGGTAAAAATAATAATTTATCTTTCAAAAAAATTATGGATAAAAAACGATACGATTTTTTGGCTGGATTTAAATCGTACTAAAAAAAAAGCTACGCAATTCTTGTGTTGACCTTTTCAAAAAGTCGCCGTGTAAAACTGTGTTCCGTAAAAACACCGATTTTTTTAAAAAATCACCTTAATTGGCGATTTGCTAACCATGCGGTGAAGAAGTTCATTATCGATAAGCTACCATTTATTTTATTTCAATTTTACATGACATTTACCATATGTCCAATCTTCAAAATATTAGATATTTGAGGCATTAATTTAGAAGTGGCATGCACCTATTGGTTCTCATACGTGAACTTAGAAGTTCATTATTTGGATAAGCTAGATTCTATCTTATTCAAATTTTACTAGATATTTATCATGAAAAATTATCATATACAACCCTCCCCCACCTGTGTAAGACTTTAAAGGATCACCATTAAATTTGGTACGAATATATAAAAAAGTCAAGTCCCACATCTATGTGAAAATTTTTTAGACATCAACCCCAATTTTAACGGTGACCCTTTAAGGTCCTATACACATGGGTAGGTAGGGTCCTGTAAGATCATTACTCATTTATCATAAGTTAAAAGATGAACATTATAAATACATTATGGATAATCAATATTTTATTTATTTTATTATAATGGATATTTATTATAAGATGAAGTTTCTATAAAGCTTAAGCTTCAAGAAAACCACCAAAAGCCTCATCTCAAATCTTTATCTAAATCCTTATTTAGAAAGTATTTTTGGCAACTAAAATTTCCATGTTGGCCTTAAAATCAAATTCCAACATGTACAATAAAATTTGCAACTCAAAAAATCGAGACGATATTGTGAATCTTTAAGCACTTTTTTTTATAACGAAATTGACTCTCTAGATAATTGGTTAACTTATGCACTATTTTTACAATTTAAAATCCTTTTTTTTTTTTCAAGATGATTGATATAAAAGTCTTCATCACGACTATATAAAATAAGGTTTTACTTATTGGGTGTGGTTTCTTTATTGGGTGTGGTTTCTATAAGGATGCAACCTTAAACAATCCAAATAAGGTGCACCTTAAAATTTTATCATACCATGTAATTTTATTATAAAATATTTTTAATATTATCTTAAAATCTATTTT